GCAAATCTATTGGAACTGTCACTGCTAATGAGACTCCAGCTAATACCATTTCAGCAACACGCCCACCAGTACGAAGAGCCAATGCAGCACCTTCAGCTGTATCTTCTGCAGCAATTGCAGCACCAGCAGGTACAGCACCAATACGACCAGCATCAGCAAAACCCATAGCACCCCCAGCAGCAGTTTCTCCAGCTATTTGTGACAAAGATGTCACACGCACTTCTTTCTCATGTAATTGAACAACATTGTTGATGGTTAAGCTAAGCTGTTGATCAAGGACAATGTGCTCTTGAGCTTTCTTTAATCGATTGTTAGCTAGTAGTTTAGAAAGCATGAAAGCACCAATTCCACCAGCAGAGGCCAATGTTCCAACAGCACCACCAGCTACAGATACTCCAATTGAAGCACCAAATGTGAATGGAGCAAGTGCTATACCAGTGATAACAAAACCACCTCCCACGACTAGACCTGCAGCTGAAGTAGCTATTCTAGCTATTCTCTCATTCCTAACAATGGACATCACTTCATCTTTATTCTTCAATATTACATCAACTGTTTCAGTTCGTATTGGATACCATAGTGAGCGAAGAAGCAACAGATGATCACCAAGACAAACATTTCTATATAATAAATAATACATAGCATTACAATTACTAAATTATGGAAGTTACTTACTTTGATTCAATAATAATAAGTTCACTATCAATGTTTCCATTCTTTGAATTAGTATCCAAACCACTCATTTCTTGTATTGTTTTAAAAAGATCTTGAACACTTCTGTGATTGAAACATTTCGACAAAGTTTCAACAGCAAGAGAGAAGTCTGGATCATTGTGTGCAATGGCAAGAGCAAGTGAATTTTTAGGGTAATCGGGCAAGGTTGGTTGGCCTTTATTTTCATTATCAAGGCAAGCTATATCAAAGAAGAAGATTTTTGGAATTCTTAATAGCGGTGATTGATTATCATAAAAATATTGAAAAATTTCTCCAATGGGTATGACCTCATCACTAGCAGCATATAGCTGAGGGGTCTTCCCTTTGCTGAGAAATATAAGAAAAAACATCGAAAGCTGAGAATGATCAACATCATTTGTAAATGTATGAAGAAAATTATCTATTGCAGCAGAGCTGAGGTTGTTTAAATAAAGAACACAAAAGCCAGATTCTTCTAACACTTCATAGAGACATTTTGCTTGCTCATTTAAAATTCTAGTACCATCCTCTTCTACCTTTGCCTCTCCACAATTATCAATAATTATAGCAAAGCGAATACCTACAAATAAAATACAGTAAAAATATTACTGCTTATATTGATTCATTTACTATCACTATTTCTTCTATCAGAACTAGTTTCTTCCTGATATCCCCTAGTTGCCATTCTGAACTGGATATGAACACTAAAAATAAAGCTCAAACAACTAGCTGAAACTAATGTATTACACTGCTTTTATAAGATATGGTTGACGGAAGAATTGGTGTCAACCTTAGCTGGAACAGATGCCACTATTCTAACCACAGTTTTTATAGTACCACAGAAATAAAATAATATTATGCTTATAAGCTTATAGCAATTATCCCCACGCAGCAAAATTAACGATCTGATCCTTCCTTTAGTGGTAAACACATTCCTCCATACATTTTAGGTAATGTAACATTTAACTTAAGTCCTTAATAAAAAGGGGTTCATTTACAAATGTAGTTAGAATTCTTATGGATTCTTTAATTTTTCATTTATTTTCCTCAAAAAACTGCAGTATATTGTCAATATTACATTCATCCAATAGTGATAACAACTGTGGAACTTTCTGCTGAACATTAACACCCTAACAGAGAGAGATGAGGGAAAGTTATGTATACTCATTTACTTTAAAAGCAGCTCTATCCATAAATAGATCAGTAATAAGTGCTAGGAATAAAAAATTCACATCACTATGAACATAATGTGAACGTACATGTACATGTGCATGTACACAATGTATCCCTCCTTCCATTTCTCTCTCCTTACCATAATATCTATCAATCATTGCTGGTTGTCTCTTTATTTCTTCCTGCATTAATGAAGCATTCTCTAAATATAAAAAAAGAACATAGCATAACTAAAAATAATTACAGGGTCTTACCTAGTATGTACTGGCACTGTGGTGAGAGAAAGCTTACATCTTTCTCATGGATCTTAAGCTCTTGAAGTGCCTCAATTAGTTGAACGTTTTTAGCTAACATGAGCTGTTCCTCTAGCCTCGGATGAATGAGCTTTATCATGTGAGCAGCACTGTCATCAGTTATACCTGTAGGAAAGAAAAAAAGAAAAAGAGAGAGAGAGGGGGGGGGAGAGAAAAAGTACATGTAGGAGAGGATTAAAGGATCTCTTACTGTGTGTTATTTTAATTGTTATATTCTTCTTAGTTGCTTCTTTGGAAAGGACTTCTTTCAATACTGATATAGTCGAGATATTGTCAGACTTGAAAACAGCTTCTTTCTGCCTATTGATGCAATAATATAAAAACTAATGATAATTTCCTTCACTGCATGTGCATTAAAAAAGTAATACAAAATTTAGAGGTCACTCAGAAAATTTTTGCTCAAGTATGGATTGACAGAAGCATACATGTAGGTTTTATAGCACAGGGAATTTTTGGGCAATTTTTTCAAACGGCCATAACTCAAAAATTTGAAGTCGGAATTGGCTCAAACTTTCTATATAGCATAAGGGTGTCAATATGTATCAGAAAATCTA